ATTTTACAAGCCGACAAACTTTCTTTCTTGCCCCGGTACTACAAACCCTTTGGGTTGCTCCATATAGATCTCTTCATTTAGATCACTGTTTAAGAAGGTTGTCTTAACATCCATTTGATGTATTTTTAAAGTAAACAACGCTGCTATAGCAATAAGTATGCGAATGGATGTTATTCTTGTCACAGTAGAATATGTGTCAAAATAATCCAGACCTTCCTTTTGTTTGTAACTTTTAACTACAAGTCTTGCTTTATACTTGTAAATTGAACCATCTGCTTTCATTTTTCTCTTGAATATCCATTTATATCTAAGAGGTTTAGATCCTGGTGGAAGATCCACCAATTTTCAAGTATGATTTTGCATAATGGATTCAATTTCATTATTAACAGTCTCTTTCCACAAAGGTGCTTCAGGACCTGTCATTGCCACCTTAAAGCTTTGAGGTTCATTTTCTAATAGGTATGTCAGAAAATCTGGACCAAAGGATTTTGATGTTCTCGCTCTCTTACTTCGTCTTGGTTCATCATCAGTTAAATCCTGTTGGTCGAGACCATTACTTGTCTCTTGTGTTTGATTGTCATTAGTCTCTTGACTTTGTGTACAATCATAAGTTTTTTTCTGTGAACTTAATTCTTGTCTTTTCTTGTAAGGAAAGACATGTTCAAAAAACACAGCATTCCTTGACTCTATAATAGTGTTCACATTTATATCAGGTATTTCTGATTTATAAGTAAGAAATCGATATGCACTACTATTCTGAGCATAACCAATAAACACACAATCTAGTGTTTTTGGTCCAATTTTAGTATTTTTAGGAACAGGAACTTCAACTTTTGCCAAACACCCCCACACTTTTAAGTATTTGTAGGAAGGTGGTCGACATTTCCACAATTCATAAGGAGTGCTGTTGGTTTTCTTGTGGGGTATTCTGTTAAGAACATAATTAGCAGACAGTATTGCTTCCCCCCACAAGTTCTGTGGTGAGCCTGAACTTAGTAACATGGCATTCATAATTTCTCTTAGGGTTCTATTCTTCCTTTCAGCAATTCCATTTTGCTGAGGAGAATAGGGTGCTGTAGTTTGGTGAATAATGCCATGTTGTGCACAAAATTCATTTAACGGTGCATTATATTTACCACCCCTATCACTTCTAACCATTTTAGTGGTTTTACCAAGTTGATTTTCAATTTCTGTTTTGTAGAGTTTAAACATTTCTAAGGTTTTCATCTTTACTTCTAAGTAAATAAACATAACAATATCTTGTGCAATCATCGATAAATGTTATGAAATACTTTTTACCTCCTCTAGTTTAAACAATTTTAAGATCACATACATTTGTATGAATTAATTCTAGAGGTTCGATTTTCCTTTCAACCGATTTAAATGGAGCCTTAGTTAGTTTCGCTTCTACACAAATTTCACATTTATGATTAGGATCAATTTCAAACTTTGGTATATAATCCAAACCAATTAATCTACGCAAAGCATCAAAATTTACATGTCCTAATCTACCTTGCCATAAATTCGACTCAAGAATATAAGCAAAAGATGTGTTATTCTTATTCATAATAACTTTTGGTACAACTGTCATTACATTTAATTTGAAGAGACCATCACTCATGTATCCCTTACCAACATACATACCACTCTTTGATAATACAAATTTATCAGACTCAAATACAAGTCTAAAACCATTTTTACTTAATAAAGACCCAGAAACCAAATTCTTCTGGATATCAAGTACATGCAGTACGTTGTTGAGGGTCAGTTCTTTCCCTGATGTCATCTTTAAGATCACCTTTCCTTGTCCAGCTACAGTAGAAATAAAAGAATTTCCCATGAAAAGTTGTTCACCATTTGCAGCCTCATTGTAGGTAGTGAACATCTTCTTGTCTGCACATATGTGACGAGTTGCTCCAGTGTCAATCCACTACTCTTTGGGATTTCCAACCAAATTAGCCTTAGACACCACAGCAGTGAGGTTGATGTCATTCACCCCGTCAGAGATGTAATCTAGTTCAGTTACATTGGCCTGATTTGTAGTCTTCTTGCTTGTACTTATGTGATCCTTTTTAGGGCGGTGGCAATCAGAAGCTCGATGTTCAATCTTGCCACAGTTATAGCATTTTCTTTTGAACTTCTTGTTGTCATTGTTGTCACATTGTTTAGGATCATCTCTAGTAAACTTCCTCTTTTTATTATGTGATTTGTGAACTTATTCAACCACATTCGCTTTGGACTCAATAGGATTTTTCCCATTTCTCTTTTCAGCCTTTCGGTTATCTTCCTCAATTCTCAATCTTACAATCAATTCATCCATGGTCATCTCCTTGCGTTTATGTTTTAAATAATGTTTGAAATCTTTCCAAGCCGGTGGTAACTTTTCCACTAGAGCAGCGACTTGGAAAGATTCGCTAAGAGACATACATTCTGAATGAATATCATGCAAAATTATTTGAAAATTTTGAACTTGAGAAATTACCGTTTGGGAGTCTAACATAACAAAGTCCAGAAATTTACCGACAACAAATTTCTTCGTGCCGGCATCCTCTGTCTTGTATTTCTTCTCCAAAAAATTCCACAATTTTTTTGCTGACTTCAGAGGGCTGTAAACATTATACAGCATGTTGTCAAGGCCATTGAGGATGTAGTTTCTGTATAGGAAATCTGAATCCGAGCATCTACAATGGCAACAACTTGCCGATCACTTTCACCCTCTTTAAGTGCTGGAGCCTCTTCATGGAGAAATCGGGCCAAATTTAGAGTTGTAAGATAGAACAACATCTTCTGCTACCATCTCTTAAATTCAGTACCATTAAATTTTTTCGATTTTTCTCCATGATTTATTGGTACTTGAACATTGTTTTGGATAGGGACCGGTGTTAGTGTAACATTTGGAGTACTACTTCCAGTTGCAATTTCAGTTGCAGTAGCCATAATATCTGATTACAAAAATCAGGAGAAAAAAAAAATACCAAAACACAAATTAATTTTCTAGTTACTAAAACCAGAAAATAAATTATAACACAAAATAATTTTATTTTCCTTGTTACTAAAACTAGAAAAATAAAATATCACAATAATTTTCTGTAACACAAATTAATATTCTGCAATTGTTAATGACAGTAGTATATTACTGCTAGTTGTAAAAGAAAATAAACAGTATAATCAAACAGTATATTACTACTATTTGTCAAATCCAACTAGAATATCACTTTGTGAAGACACAGAAATAAATACAATGAAGAAACCAAAAAATTGCCTGTCTTAAGATTGTTGGACAATCTTCACTGTATTTAAAAAATAAATTTTGTTGTGTACTTAACAACAAACAGAATATATAAGAAATAAAGGAAATGAGAGAAAATGTCCGATTACAAAAATCAAACTAGAAATAAAAAAAAAAATAAAAACAGATTTTATTTTGTTACAAAAACAAAATTAAAATCTGATTTAAATAAATAATAATAACACCGAAAAATAAATCAAATAACTTACTTGATTAATTCTTGAATAATAATTTGATCAAGTCCAGTGTTCGATACTGTGTCGTTAAGACAGATTCGTCCTCTCCACGGTGCTTTCAGAATGTGG